AGGTAGATGCGTTGGGTCAGGTGTTTGCTGCAGCGTCCAGGTCTGGTCCTGAGTCTGCCCCCTGCTCATGTCGCCTCCTGTCTCACGAGACTCTCCTGTTGCACCACCATCTTGGTCACCCCTCCCTGCCTCGTCTCCGAGGCATGGCTTCCCGTGTCCTTGTCTCTGGTCTTCCCCGGTCCCTCCCTCCCCTTCCTCTGGGGCCTGGTCCTTCCTGCGTCCCCTGTGTCCAGGGGCGGCTACGGGCTGCCCCTCACTCCTCTAAGTTTCCCCCGACAGAGGCCTCGCTGCAAACGCTTCACATGGAGGTGTGGGACCCAGCCCGCGTCCGTGGACAGGGTCACGAGCGCTACTTTCTGCTGGTGGTTGACGACTACTCGCGTTACACCACAGTCTTCCCCTTGCGCAGCAAGGGCGATGTCACTGAGCTGTTGATCGACTGGATCCACACAGCTCGTCTCCAGCTCAGGAGGAGCTTCGGCTCGGACTTTCCTGTTATGCGTCTGCACTTTGACCGAGGCGGAGAGTTCTCCTCTGGCCTTCTGCGAGCCTACCGCCATGCACGAGGCATCCGCCAGACCTTTACGCTTCCGGTCTTTCCGCAGCAAAATGGGATTGTTGAGTGCCGCATTGGCATGGTCATGGACGTCGCACGTACGTTCATGATGCATGCGGCTGCCCCCCATTTTCTGTGGCCGTTTGCGGTTCGGTACGTGGCGCATCAGATCAACCTTCACCCCAAGGTCTCCATGCCGGAGACCTCCCCAGCTTTGCTGTGGACGGGGAAGGTAGGCGATGCGTTTGCGTTCTGTCTCTGGGGATCTAGGGCGTTTGTCCGCGACTTGTCTGCGGACAAGTTGTCCCGTCGTGCTGCTCTTTGTGTCTTCCTTGGCTTCCCCCCTGACGCGCCAGGGTGGCAGTTCTACCACCCCTCCTCTCGTCGTGTTTTGTCCTCCCAGGACGTCACGTTTGACGAGTCGGTCCCCTACTACCGTCTCTTCCCCTACCGCACTCCTTCCCTCCCCTCGCCTCTGCTCTTTCTTGTACCAGGTCCCCCCCCGGTAGACCCCCTCCTCCCTCAGGGTCCTGCCCCTTCAGGTGTGTCCCAGGTAGATGCACTCAAGCCGGTCGAGGTTGTTGGTGACTCTGGTACTGCTGCAGGTGCTAAGCATGGGGGTGCTGACTCTGGGAGTGCTGCGCCTGGGGGTGCTGAGCCTGGGGGTGCTGAGCCTGGAGGTGCTGCGACTGGGGGTACATAGACTGGGGGTGCTGAGGCTGGGGGTGCTGAGCCGAGGGGTGCTACGTCAGGAGCTGCTGAGCCTTGGGGTGCCACGTCTAGAGCTGCTGAGCCTGGAGGTTCTCCGGGTGCTTCGTCTCAGCGGGAGCCACTCTCTCTACAGGAGCTGGGCGAGTGGTTTGCCCTGCGCTGGATGCGTACTGCTGGAGCTGGAGCTTTGTCGGCTGCTGAGGGTGCTGGTGCCGCCGCTCCCGGAGGTGCTTGTCCTGGGAATGCTGGAGCTGCTGGGCCTGCGGGTACGACTGAAGCTGGAGCTACTGTGGGTTTTGGCACTGAGGCTCCTGCTGTCAGTCCTGGCGGCGGTCCTGCTGCAAGTGCTGTTGGTGCTGCTGGAGGTGCTGTTGGCGCTGGTGCTCCCGCTGAGGGTGCTGGTGCTGTCCGTGCTGTGTCTAGAGTCCCCGCACGGCCTCGGCCGTACTTCGTTCTGCTCCTTCAGTAGGTTCTTGGTCTTCCTCCTCTCTTAGAGTGTCCATCGCCTGTCCAGTCACAGTCCCAGTTACCGCCGGCCTCCCCACTACCTGCTCCTTCTCCGTACACTGGTCCTACAGGAGGTCTTGCTGAGTGCGTGAGCCTGCGTCTCGTCCTGCGTCGCATGTTCGTGCTGCTTGCGCTAGTGGTCACGGTTCGCGTCAGCGTCCTCCTCCTGTCCCTGGCACGCACCGGATGTCTCTGCGTCCGTCCATTGCTCCTGTGCGTGCCCCTTTGCCTTCTCCTCCTGAGTCATCTCTTCATGCACTTGCCGACCCGGAGTCGGACTCTCTTCGTGTTGCCAGTCCTATTGTCACGCGTCTCCTTGCTACTGTCGTCACTGACCCCTCCTTTAAGCCCACTGCTGCGTCTTCTCTTGTTGCAGAGCTCGTCGACTTTGCTGTTGGCTGTCGTCTAGACTGCGCTGCTAGTCTTGTTGCCGAGTCTGCGTCTGTCTGTCCTCCGTCCGTCGGGGGTGAGTGTGCTCTTGGCACGGACGTCCTTGAGGACAGGCAGGAGGAGTTCCAGTGTCTGGCTACTGCTTCACCTCATCTCGTATCCGTACTCCTTGCCCCTGAGGGAGACCCGGATGCATTTGACATCCCGACTCCGCGCTCTTACGTGGAGGCCGTAGAGGGTCCCTACTCCTCTCAGTGGTAGGCACCTATGGATGCAGAGATGGCTTTCTGGAAGTCCACTGGCATCTACATTGATGCGGTTCACCCACCTAGGGCGAACATCGTCAGTGGCATGTGGATCTTCAGGGTGAAGCGGCCGCCGGGTTCTTCACCTGTCTTCAAGGCGCGGTACGTGGCTCGTGGCTTCATTCAGCGGCAGGGAGTTGACTACTTTCAGACCTTCTCTCCCACCCCGAAGATGACCACTCTTCACGTGCTGCTGCACATAGCCGCTCTGCGTGACTACGAGCTTCACTCCCTTGACTTCAACACTGCTTTCTTGCAGGGTAGCCTGCACGAGGAGATCTGGCTACGCCGTCCACTTGGCTTCACTAGGAATTTTCCTCCTGGCACCCAGTGGAGCCTCCGACGGCCAGTCTACGGTCTCCGCCAGGCGCCGCGTGAGTGGCACGACACACGGAGGACTACACTTGCGGCTCTTGGGTTTGCTCCCTGTACTGCCGACCCGTCGCTGTTTCTACGCACCGACACCTCTTTGCCGCCGTTCTACATCCTCATGTACGTCCACGACTTGGTCTTTGCCACGGCTGACACTGCTGGACTCGCCCACGTAAAGTCCGAGCTGCAGAAGAGACACACGTGCACAGACCTGGGTGAACTGCGCAGCTACCTTGGCTTGGAGATCACCCGGGACAGAACACGCCGCACCATTACCCTGACTCAGTCACACATGGTGCAGCAGGTCCTTCAGCGCTTCGGCTTCACGTACTCCTCGCCCCAGGCCACTCCTCTGCCTACTCGCCACTCGCTCTCAGCTCTACCTTCGGATGAGTCCGTAGAGTCGAGTGGCCCGTACCCAGAGCTTGTTGGCTGCCTCATGTACCTGATGACCTGCACACGACCTGACCTTGCATACCCTCTTACCATTCTTGCACGTTATGTTGCTCATGGGAGACACAGACCGGAGCACATGGCTGCAGCGAAGAGGGTGTTGCGCTACTTGTGCAGTACGTCGGGCATGGGGCTAGTGCTTGGAGGGCGACGTCGAGTGGTCCTCACTGGACACGCAGACGCTTCGTGGGCTGATGACCAGGCTACACAGCGGTCGTCAGAGGGTTATACCTTCAGCCTTAGTTCCGGCTTTGTTTCGTGGCGGGCTACTCGCTCGTCTTCCGTTCTCGGCTCCAGTTGTGAGGCTGAGATCTACACTGGAGCCATGGCTGCTCAGGAGCTTCGCTGGCTCACCTACCTGCTGATTGACCTTGGAGAGCCGCTCGTTCTCCTCCAGTGCTGTACGTAGACAACAAGGCCATGCTGGCCTTGTGTTGGGAGCAGCTCCTGGAGCACAGAACGAAGCACATTGCTCTCCGCTACTTTCTTGCTTGTGAGCTGCAGCAGCGTGGTCACTTGCGACTTGCGTACGTGGCCTCAGAGGCCAACACTGCTGATATCTTCACTAAGGCACTTGCGCCTTGAGATCATCAGCGCTTCTGTACTCAGCTTGGTCTTGTACTGTCCCATATATATTCTCCTGCTCTTGCTTGTTTCACCTTGTATATATATGTGTGCTCCTGCATATGACCTGGCCTTCTGGCCTTGAACTTGTGCTCGGAATGTGTGGTGACTTTGTGATCCACCCTGAGCTTTGCTTTGCTTATCTTGACTAGTCTTGTGACCCCTTGTTCTCCCCCACTTTGCTTATGGGGGTGTGTCAAATCATAATGTTGTGTAGGATGTAGTGGGGCAGCCCATATGGGGTACACATCTCTAGGGTTGCATATTTGTACCACTTTCATTCCTTAGTGCAATCATTCTCGTTTCAACTTTCTCAGCTTCCATTGGCGATGTCTCTCATTTTGGCCCTTTCAGTATGGGGAAGTCATTTTATTGATATCATCGCTCCATGACACCATGATTCCACCACCGAATTATCTCAAAACCCCATCACCCCATTGTCAGAGGTCCACTGGTGATCCCCGATCGATCCTAGGGAAGGGTTACAGGCACATTTGCCTGGGGGGTTATGGGCGCACTGACCCGCTACTGAAACAAGCCCTTTTATCCCAATGGTCTAGTGGTTGGGATTCTGAGATGGTATCAGAGCGAAGGTTTCGGGTTCGAATCCCGGTGTATGCACTTCGGGCATCCCAGTGCGGGGGGGTGTCAGAGGTCCACTGGTGATCCCCGATCGATCCTAGGGAAGGGTTACAGGCACATTTGCCTGGGGGGTTATGGGCGCACTGACCCGCTACTGAAACAAGCCCTTTTATCCCAATGGTCTAGTGGTTGGGATTCTGAGACCCATGACCCATTACCCCATAATTTCATCAACCCATCACCTATCGTCCCATCATCCACCCACACCGACCTTGCCTTGGCCTCGGCCCTCACAGCAATAGTTGGTGGTAAACAGCTCTGGCAAGTCTCTTCCCTCCCTGCCCCCACATGTTTCCAACTCCCTTAGTTGCACACAGCACGAGCTATGAACCAGGAACTAGGAGACAGGAGATCCATACTTTTGTTCCTCCCTTTCTACCATTAATCGCAAACCCACTCCCGCCCTCCCCACCTCTTCCGCCCCATTAACACAGGGTTCTATGGCCTATATATCTCTTCACTCCACCTTGCTTGCCCATGCTCGTTCCTCCCTCCCTCCCCTGCATACCTCAATCCCCTTCCAACAACCCACACCTTTCCAGCTCTTCCAACCCATCAAGGCAGTGCGCTACAGCATGCTCCTCCCCTCGCCCTACCCCATTTCCCTCCCTCATTGCTTTCCTCATTGCCTCTTCCTCCTTCTCTACCCTCCATTCCACCACCCGAAATCCCACACCTTTCCACCTCTTCCAGCGCATCATGGCAGGGTGCTATGGTGTGCAATGCAGCTCTCTCCACCCTTCCTTCTCTACTGCATGCTCGTTGCTTCCCCTCCCTTTATCCCCCCTTCCCTCCACTCCTGCCCTTCGTTGCACCACTTCCTAGCGCATCATGGCAGGGAAGGGGTGCAACAGAGTGCACTTCCCCGTGTGAATCAAGACGGGCAAGCCAACACATACAGCGACGTCCATCATTTGCATTTCAAAGATTTCTTGTCATAGTCCCTCGTCAAAAGCCCCTGGCGAGTCTCCTCGTCCAAATTTATTGTCAAATTTCCTCCTTATAAGCTACCATAATGAAATAATCTCTGTGCCTCTTGCACCATTCACAATCTTCCCCACCCCACTCACCTCCTCCCACCCCACTCACCTCCTCCCACCCCACTCACCTCCTCCCACCCCACTCACCTCCTCCCACCCTACTCACCTCCTCCCACCCCACTCACCTCCTCCCATTCCACTTATCTCCTCCCACCCCACTCACCTCCTCCCACCCCACTCACCTCCTCCCATTCCACTCATCTCCTCCCACCCCACTCACCTCCTCCCACCCCACTCATCTCCTCCCACCCCACTCATCTCCTCCCACCGCACTCACCTCCTCCCACCCCACTCAACTTCTTCCACCCCACTCACCTCCTCCCACCCCAATCATCTCCTCCCACCCCACTCATCTCCTCCCAAACCACTCACCTCCTCCCACCCCAATCATCTCCTTCCACCCCACTCACCTCCTCCCACCCCACTCACCTCCTCCAATAGTGCCCCGTCCATCCTTCCTACCCTCTCCAACCGTCAGCTGCTCATTCTTTCAACACTGCCGTGCTATGCCCATCACCTCACCTCATCTCAAATGCTTTCATCCGTCCAGTGTATGAACCAACTTTCCCCCTCCACCTCAGGTCCTCCTCCTCTGCCCGCCATCACCCTCTCGTATGCTCCCACACCATACCAGGCAAGCAGCAGCACTGTTGTCATCGCATCTCCAGGCCGCATCCTTCCCTCTCTTCCACATCACCTACACTGATGTGCTGTCACCCAGTCCCCCACCTTCTCCCCCGTCCCCATGGCCCACTCCCGTCCTGTTCGGCCTATATATTTGCCTCCCCACTCTCGCTCTCAATCTCCCCTCTGCTGCACCTAGCAGCGCCATGCCCTCGCCATAATGGCATGTCCTGGAAGGAGCTGGGGCTGGAGCAGAGATGCGCAGGGGTAGAACAGTTATGGCTACAGTAGCGGCAAGTAGGAATTCAAACTAGTGGGTAGGTCCACAACATATGACGATCATTTTTTAGGAACAGCCATGCTTGTGCGTTTCAACAGGAGTGATGCAACAGATTCGCACGCGGATTCCTTTTCATAGCTCATCCCACGATGTGCATCTTATCAATCTGTTCTTTCTAGATTGTTTTCACTTTCACGTATCATCAGTGCCATCCCTTATTCATGCCTGCCCTTCCCTCAGCCTCAGTGAATTATTCTAAACTTAGAGGGTGATCCAGGGGAGGTGATGCTTGGAGGCACGTGTTGCGTTGCCTGGAAGTTTGAAGGCTGGAGTGGGAACGATCATTAGTGGTAAGATTGCCTGCTTTAGCAGGAAAATATATTCGTAGGACAGCCTTGTCAGCACATCTCATCCCTCGGCTCATCCCAAACTCCCATGGTGTTGTTTCTGAATCAGATTTGAATGCCCTTCTCTCATGCCTGCCTCTCACTGATCTCTGCCCTTCACCCTGTACCGGCATAATTCCTGTGTTTCTAGCCCTTCTCACCTCCTTGTCACACCAAAGATGACTTCTCCATACATGACTTTCACCTCCTCCTTCCTGCCTGTTGTCTTGCCTTTTACCTTTTGTAACACCCCCAAGATGTTTCTCCAGCCCTTGTCACCCTGCATCTCTTGCTGCCTCATCCCGCTTTCCTCTTTATGGGCTCCTTATGGCGCAATGGTACGTCTGTAGACCTGCTGTGGATTATGCCTCACCATATGGAACATGGCATACCTTATTGCATACCTCATTCCATACTACGCATTCCACTACTCACTCATCATTCTGCTGCTCCCACACCATGAGTTCCTCGCACTCTCATCTTTGCTCTTTACTCATCCCTTCCCAGCACTTACTCCCATAATGATCCTCTTGAGCTCAGAGGGACACAGTGAGGGTGCCACACAGCAGAATGTACTTACAGGTGGAGTGTAGGGATACAGTGAAGGGGCACTACTGCAATTGCCTCTTCCTTCAGCAGGTAAGATAATTCAGTGCTGAGTTGTGGTGACACACAGCCTCAGAGGCTAGGAGGGCAAGCTGTAAGCATCACTTCATGTGCAACACATACTGAGATGAGATGTTCACAAGGTGCAAGTCTTCATGTCCAGCAAAACATTCAGTTCCATCTCTTCTGGAGCATCATTCCCTTTACCTATGTTGCCGTGCGCCGCCTTAGAATACCAACGGGGAAGGATGAGTGTGATAGAATGGAAGCATGCATGTCCTCTAAACATTTCCTATACATAGATGGCCCCACTTCCTTATGATTCAACCCTGTCTGTCTCCAATTCCATCACATGCGTAATGCTTTACGACAAACCCTATCTGAAATGAAGCCCTGAATGTCATTGCATCCTTGTGCTTGCTAGCTTTATGGTGTGATGAATATATCCTTTGTTAGATTGTACAATATGTATACATAGGTAGTGTCAAATGCTCTTGTAGTCATTGCTTTGATAGTTAGGTGATAAATAATTTTGTTAGTTAATCAGGAACCAATCATAATGGAGTATATTTTAAACCTACCAGCACCCTTTGAGCAAGGAGCTGCCATCACTTTCATGCCTCCTTCCTAGCACAACACGCATGCATACATCCCTACTACACTCCCCTTTATACACGACCCGAATGAAGGCCACTCTAGCTGTACAAAGAAAATGCCATTTTAAACCAGCTTGGACACTCCTCCATGTTCTCCCCTCATTCTCCACAACCCTTGCCTCCACGCCTCTTCCAGTATCACCCAAGCAGTCACTCTTAACTCTGCCTTAATGCTGTAAACCCCCCACTCCCCCCTCCCCTCCCCCTCCCCTCCCCCTCCATCACTCTCTCCCACCCTATCTGCCTATCCACTTCCACACATCCTCATCGTTGACCATATTCCCATTTGGCAGTTGGAGAGTTCTCAGCTTGGTCAGGGCAGTCAGCTTCTGCAGCCCATCATCCGTGACTGCTATGCCACGCAGCCAAAGTTTCTCTATCCCTATCAGCCTCCCCACATGCACCATGCCAGCATTTGTCACACCCTTGCACTCAGAGAGCCTCAAAATTTTAAGAGAGGAAAAGTGTGCAAAGTGCAGCAGACCCGCGTCTGTCACCTTGGTACAATGGAGATAAAAGGGCTTTAGCCCGACAATGGCAACAATGGCCGCAATGCCTTCCAAGGCACTGTCACAGAGGTCTGTGTTATTAAGATCCAGCGTCTCCAGCCGTGGCAGCCTGTAGAGGTGCTTGATGCCCTCTGCACTGAAACCTGAGCTAGAGTCCAAGTCAATGCTCTTCAGATGGGTCATTGTGGACACATGGGCGAGCATGGTGTCTAAGAGGCCGTGGAGATCCGTCAGGCTCAGCTTGGTTCCTTGTGATGTTGCCTTGATTCGCCGGAGGTGATGAATGAAGAGGGCAAGAGGAATGGCCATGCATGTAACAGCCCAAGTTGGAATAGATGCACGACCAAAAAAGCATTAAGTGGCCAGACGCGATCATCAGGCGCAGGATGCTACACGCAGCTATGAAGTTTTGGGCTTTTTCTCAGGCAGCCTTGGAACAAAAGAACAACGCATGGCTTGCCAAACAATGCATACCGTATCTTCTAAAACCGATTAACTCAGCATTCACCTGCCAGGAAAACTGATTCATGAGCTACCACTCCTTGCAGATCGCCAGTTATGGCACGCGCCCAATAAATGCATTATTACAATACCAAACGATTAACGCACTAAAAACAGTTCGCTCGACACTCACCTCCCATACAGTCTTCTGAGGGCCTTTACTCTCGATAATCTCCAGCTCAACATTCACCCAAGCCTTGCAGGCTGCCAAGTCCTCCATGGCACATGGCCATATCAACTCCTGCACCTCCCTCCTCCTCTCCTCCCTCTCCCTTGACAACTCTGCCCTCATTTTATCCTCTCCCTTTCTAACCTGCTCCCTCAGCTCTCTCAACTTGTTTTCCCTTTTTCTCTCAGCCAAATCCATCTGCTCGGCAATAGCGTCTGTGTATTCAGTCAGCTTTGTCTTCACTGCCGCCAACTCTGCTGCCAGCTCTCTCTCCCTCTCCTCCACCTGCCCTCTCATCTCCCTCATCTCCGCCACTCGTCTCCTCTCAGCCTCCTCCAGCTGCGATGTACTTGAATGCTTGTGCTCACCCAACTCTCCTTTTGCTGTTGCCAATTCCCTCTTCACTGCAGCCAACTTTCCTTCAATGTTGCCAGCTCACTCCTCTCGCCCACAATACTCAGTGCAAGCCTCAACTCATTCCCCAAACCTTCATTTCTCTTCTCCAACATCAATGAAAACTCCCCTCTCACCAATGAAAACAGCCCTTTCACTGCTTCAGCTAACTCGTTTGACTCCCCATCTACAACCATTTGTGTTGCTTGAGGTCAGCCAGAGTCTTCTTCGCTTACCACAGAAGAGGATGGCAGTGTGGCATGTCAAAATTGGGTGGAGGTGGATAGATGGAGGTGAACAGGGACTCACGCATGAAAAGAAGGAACAAGAGCGCCATCCAGTCCAAAATAGACATGAGCAAGCGGTGGAGTGAAAGCTGACTATATCCTTCTTTTACTCAAAGCGGTTGAGACTAAGGCCTCGCCTCTACCGTATTACTCAACCAGGTAGGCATCGTCTTATCAAGAATACTTGACTGAAGCGAGGCGAGTAATGCTTGTCGAATAGACAAATGGTCGCTCATTATTCGTCAGAAAAGGGTGGGGGAAGAGTCACTTGCGAGTAAGCTTTCCTGGTGATTGACCCCCTGCGCGATTTGCCAGAGGAGGACGCGTTCGGATGAAGTGGGTTGGCTTCTCAGGGTGATACGCAGGTGGGGCAGAGTGTGGGTCTCCAGACGTGGGTGGGAGGGGTTCATATTCCGGTGATGTGGGGTGGGTTTTGGCAAGAATGTCGGGTGCAAGGAGAGTGTCGCCTGCCTCGTCCTGAGCAATAAAATCTGACCCACACAGTGAGGCAGAGGAGGAAAAGTGCTAGATGCAAGTAATACTCGCATAACACCTCGTGTTAGCAGAACAAGGCACCCCAAAATGAGGGGATTATCTCTGGTCCCAATCAGTGCTCGTGTCTAAGCTAGTTCAAATCTACGTCCAAGACGAGCGAGACACAAGCAGTGAGCGAATCTGCATCCAAGCACCACAAGATTGAGGTGGGAGCTCTATTAGAAGCTGTGCCAGCTCGCATTTCCATTAGTACCGTCAAGCAACCCACCTTGCATTGTTTCTTCCTATCATCTAACAATTAGGTTTATGTTGTTCGTACTATCTTAGAATGGCCAAGCAATCGGCTTCAGCTTGTAGTGATTCTTGCCGAATGTCTTCCAAGCAACTAAACTACGAGGAATTTTGACCTACATGCGCACATTACCAGGTCGAGTCCACCTCAACCCGCAAGTTGACTCAAGTCAGGACTAACCCGACTCGAGTCCACTCACTCGCACTGCGCACATGTCTAAGCGAGCTCAATCACAGGCAAGGTCAGTCATTAGGCTAGAACAGCTAGCTATAGGATAGGTTAGTGACATGCTAGGCCAGTCAGGAGCTAGGTCCATCACATGATGGGTCACTTGTAGATTATGTAAGCTGGAGCCTCAGTCAAAGGCTAGGTTAGTCAAACGCTAGGTCAGTCAAAGGCTAGGTCAGTCAAAGGCTAGGTCAGTCAAAGGCTAGGTCACTCAAAGGCTAGGTCAGTCAAAGCTAAGTCAGTCAAAGGCTAGGTCACTCAAAGGCTAGGTCAGTCAAAG